AGCTTGGAGTTTGATTCTGGCAGGGCTCAAGGTTGACCAGGCTTCCGTCCTTTCGATCAGTAAAACGAGGACCCAGATTGTTGGGGGCAAATGCCAACATTGTAAACTGCTCAGATAGTATTGTAGAGCATTGTGGGGTGGTATGTAGGTCTAAGTGCCATTGCTGTGTGTCTGCTTTCAAAGATACTCCACGGGTGCAATAATGGAAGCAGCCACACAATCCTGTAAAAGTGTGGGCAATCTTGGGAAATTGCTGCCGTCAGATCTTCTCTCACAATGGTTATTGTGGGCCTGAATAGAATAAAATATAGGATTAATTTGGTTGTTAATTTTAATTTATTTTTTTAATTTTTATTGTAAATATCAGTTGGTTTTTTTGGGGGATACTTCATTTAATGTCCCTTTTATTTTTTGTGATATGTGTTTTCTTTCATGTTGTACGCCGCCCTGAGTCCTTGGGAGGAGGGCGGCATATAAACCCAATAAACCTCAACCTATTTAAAATAAGACGCTTGGAACAAACTCATATGGACCTATGGAAGTATTTCTGATCTGAAATTTTGCGAGATAAACGAAGAAGATTCTAATACTAGTCAAACTTTTTGTAACTGTAAGTTTATGAATTGAATATATTCATTTTCATTAAAGAATGTAACCTCTGTCCTGCTATTTTATTTTCTTCTTAAAGATCTTCCAAATACGGTCAATTCAGTTAGCATTCCCAACTTACTTCCGGGTCGTAACTACATTATCAAAGTCTATCAAATTTCAGAGGAAGGAGAGCAAGATCTAATTCTTTCAACAACACAGACAACAGGTATGTTTGCTATCAGACAGGGACAGATGGGTATGGGCATTCTCTCTCTGAAAACTGAAAGTTGTTCAATCAACTTTCTTCATTATTCTCTCTCTATTCAGCACCTGATGCTCCTCCGGATCATCTTGTAGAAAATGTTGATGATACTTCAATTCTTGTCAGCTGGAGCAGACCAGAAGCGCCAATCACAGGTCTGAATTGCCATCCTATATCTGTTTTGGAGCTTGGGGGATTCCTTCCATTTGTAAGACAGAAAAGTGTGTTAAGCATGACGGCCTAAGAAAATTGTACCTCTGAAGCTCAATTGGCTTTTACTGTCTGTTTGATTGAATTTCCTTGTTTATAAATTATACTTGATGTAGACTCACTACATCATACAACTATGGTTTATCAAAAAAGATGGTCTGAACAAAGATAGGTAATTTAGCATATGGAAGAATACCAGATCTTTTTTTCACTCTGCTGTCGGCTGACTGCATATTTTGCTTTACAAGGTTACCGGATTGTTTATACTCCTTCGCTGGAAGGAAGCAGCACAGAACTCAATCTCCCAGAATCTGCAACATCTGTGACACTCAGTGACTTGATGCCTGGTGTTCAATACAATATCAGCATTTATGCTGTGGAAGAAAACCAGGAAAGTGCTCCTATCTTCATTCAGCAGAAAACCACCGGAGTCCTAATGGCAGGTATTCATGCATTTCTGTAATTTTGTGGTTTTTTTTTTATAATGCTCTCTTTTTTTTCCCTTCTTGGATTCCAGAATTGTTTTCTTGAAGGCAGTATTTATTTATTGCATTTATCTATTCATTTTATTTAACACATATAACTGCCCATTCACAAAAAGTGATTCTTGACAGTGTATAATGATCTAATAAGGCAACAGACATTTAAAAACAAGCCTTAGTGAAAATATAAAATAACCTATAATTGAAAATACAAACTACCAGGCACAGGGGAAAGTAAATGTGTGATGGAGTCACCTTAAAAAGGCCACATACATTACAAGACGTTCCTAGTGTTGCTGCAAATGTACAGTCAACTTTTTTTGGGATCAGTTGAGTGTTTATTTGGTTGCAGCAGGAACTGTGTGATTGGCTGGATACCTGAGCTTGACTTTGTGGCCTGAAAGAGTGACTGGCTCAAGGTCTCCCAGCCAGCCAACTTTCATGCCTAAAGTGGGACTAGAACTCACAATCTCCTCTTTGTACCCTGCGCCTTAGCCACTAAAACAAATCGACCTTCAAAAATTAAAATTGAATTGATTTAAAAAATAATAATTTCTCATTTTTGATATACCAATTGTTTGCTTTTCTAATTTTGAGTGATTCAGAAAATGAGATATATTTTCTTTTGCTTTTTATCTGGTGGTCAGTTTTGGAGAATAGAGCTGTATAAAGAAACACTGCAACCACACTTAAGTTTTCCACTGTTTTATTTTTATATTACTGTCTGCTTCTCAGTGATGACGATATCTTGGCAAGATAGAAAGCTGTATGATGGTTTTGTCTTCAGTAAGAACACTTTTCATGGACTGTCTCGATGAGATTTCAAGGGACATTGAGAAAAGGATCAGCAGTAGTTTTTGCTGAGAGATTAATTTTGAAGTAGGACAGAAGAAAGAGGGTAGTTGTGATGATACACTGACAAAGCATTTCTTACCATTCATTAAACCTTTCTTTTGTACATCTATTTGGCTAGATGAGATTCATCCTCCCCAGGACCTTCAATTTTTGGAAGTTGGCAGTGACAAAATAACCATCATGTGGCGCGCCCCTGAAAGTGCAGTGGCTGGTTATCGTGTAGAGGTTATTCCAATTAACCGCCCTGGGGAACATGGCCAGAGGTTACCCATTAGCAGACACACATTTGCTGAGGTCACAGAACTTTTGCCTGGAACAACGTACCTTTTCAAGATCTACGCTGTAGGACAGAACACGGAGAGTGAACCATTAACTGGAGAACAAACAACGAGTAAGTTTGTTTTCTCTAATTCAGGGTATAGATTTTTCACAAATTCATCCTGTTAGAAATTCCATCATTTCCCAAAGCCTATAATAAGAACTTAGTAGAATGAATCCATTGGCTTTGCTAAGCAGTGGGAGGTCCGCTATCCTGTAGCCCAAGCCTTCCCCTCAGCCAGGTTTTCCTGAAGGAGTCAGCAAGAAGAGGGGGACGAACTTCCAAGCACTTCCAACATCTCGGTAGTTCTATCAAAGCACTTTTTTGTTTTCATACAATGCACAAGTCTAGAAGGTGGATGGAAACTCCAGGAAAGTAATAGCCTTCCTCAGAGTAGTAACAGATACAGGTGAATGGGATATCTACAACTGCTGTGTAAGCCATCTGCTCTCTCCTTTGTCTCCATTTGTCCTGGAGGAGAAGGGAGGAAGGTCGATATAAAGCAAGATCCGCCTTTGTCTGGTTCTCTGTGGCAAGAAAAGAATTACATTGCCACGCATCAAAAATATCTTAGAAGCCACCAACGGACTACAGGTAGTCCTCAAGTTACGAATGTAATGGAGCCTGCTCATTCCATTCGTAACCCAAGGATTTGTGGGGATGAATCTCGTACCTTGAATGGGATCACTCCCTCCTTTCGCTTATGCATTTGCTAATCAAATGAGAGGTTCATTAAGTGCACATGACGTATTTGAGGGAGGGGAACGTCATGGGGGGAATTACTGATGGAACAGACCACCCGGCTAAGACCACGCAAGGCCTCCCTGACCCACTGAAATGACTCATGCTCCTCACAATGGCTTCCCCCTTCACCTGCCGCGCTGGGTCACTTACCTTGTGAAGATCTAGCAAGCAGCCTCCTTTCCAGTCTTTCAGCCACGTGGGCCCCCGTGCAGTTGCATTCGGGCTTCTGCAGGTCTGGCCTGGCAGGTTGCCAGCCAAAATGGAGCTTCTGAGGGGTGAATGGCCCTCCGATGCTCTGTTCGGTCCTCCACGGTCCTCCCCTGGCTTCTTGTAGCCTGAAATGGAGCTTCTGGGGGTTGGATCTGCCCCCCCCATTGAGCTTCTGGGGGCTGGATCTGCCCCCCTATCCCACCCTGAAGCTCCATTTTGGCCTACAATGTCGAATGGAGTGTCGGAGGGCTGGATCTACCCCTGACCGGATCCAGGCCCCAGAGACTCCATTTTGGGCTGCAGTGGGGAAGCCTCTGGACACCCAAATGGGGCTTCTGAGGGGCGGATCCACCCCTCAGAAGCTCCATTTCAGCTGGCAATGTGCAGGATGAATGTTGCAGAGCATCTGCTGGCTATGCAAAAGAGACAATCGGCCAGCCTGAAGACCTTCGAACCTCTCCACCAGCAATTAGCACACAGATCAGCATAGATTAATTCCAAGGTTAACTTATATAAACTGATAGCAAACAGCACTCCTCACTAGCACTGATGATATTACCTACTTTGGGTAATGAAGCGTCTGNTATTCAACAAAGTGGGCAGAAATACTCATGCAATCATTTCCACTTCTTTCTACAAATATACCACCACATACTACTGATACTTTTAGCATCATTTCCAAATTTCTCCATCCATTTCCCCATCTTTAGTAATTTGCAGTTGTTTCTTACCAGACACAACTGCTTTGACCTTCAATACATTAATTTTCAGACTATCTTCTTTATTAAGTCTAACATTTACTACAAATCATTTAGGTTCTTAGCCAACAATAGCATAGCCTGAGCAGCACTACTGTTTATCCATAAATATATTAAATAAGAGGACATCACATGTTCTTGTTTCACCTCCTGATCAACTTTGAATCAGTGTTGAGCTGTTCACACTTGCTTTACTTCCCTCCTACATTGTTTTAATTATATTTAGCAATCAACTTTTGACTTCATATTCACCCAGAATGTTCTGTAATTCAAACCTATCAAATGCTTTCTCTGAATTAACAAATGTAAAATACATTCTGTTTTGCACAGTCAATACATTTCTCAGTGACCTGAAAAGCAAAACTCAAATCTGTGTTGCACTTCCCCAGTGTTGCTTGTTATCCCACCTGCTCCCCTTTCAGTCAGACTTCTGCCAGATAACTTCCCAGGCAAATTGACAAGCCAATCCATCTAGTTCTTACATTAATTTTTTTACCTTTCTGTTTGCAGAAAGAGGAACAGTAATGGCATTCTTCTAATCCTCAGGTACAGATGCAATCTTCATACACATAAGTTGCACAACCAGTCAATAAACTTCACTCATGATTGACATGGTCTCCAGTTTCATGCCTGCAACCTCATTACTTTCAAAGATTTCCTCATCATTTATGACTTTTCATCAGATTTATCTTGGATATAAACATAGAATGCACTTCAATTTGGTTTCGTGATGCATTGTATACTTCCCACACAAATATTTAAAATATTTTTTTTCTAATAGTCTCATTCCAAATCCCATCACATTTATTCAGTTCTCTCTGTTGGGGGTCCCTTGTTTTGATGTTTTTTCACTCAATTCTAAAATACTGGCCTATCCTGCATTCAGAATTTCTCCTGACTTGTTAATCTTAGAAATTCTCATCATAAACAATCTGTCTTCCCTTTTCTATATGTTTAGGCTAATAAACTTGAATTTAAGCCACGCATCTGAAAAAAGCACCCTGTTTTCGAAGCAGTTGCTCAACAGTTGCTCACTCTGATTCATCCTTAGGTTGCCTAACAGCCCAATTAGTTTTTCTGTAGTCTCTCATCTCATTCGCACACATCCAATCTTGTACCTAACAACAAGTTTTTTTTAAAAAATCTTCAATAACATTCATTCAGAATACTGAATTTTTCCAAGAACATCTTTCTAGTTGATCTTCCAAAATCACCATTGACTGGGACTTAATATGCAACTAATATAAAGAAAATTAATAGATTACAGAAAGATGCCCAAATAAGGCCACATAATTTCCAGATGGCAGCAAAGAGATACAGAAAAGTGCTACCATCTCACCATCCCTTGATTTTTTTACAATCCAAATCTGTAGGCACCAATGCTGGTAAAGCTTTGTTCTGAGGATTAATTTATAAAAAACACAAGTGGCTTTGAAAAAGCATTTACTTATTTATGTGTTCTTACGTAACAGCAGCTCTCAACTGGGCGCCAGTTCTTAGTATTTATATTGAAGTGCAGCTTCCCTCCTCCCCATAGAGCCTTCGTTCTAAGCAAATATTAATACATAGTTTAAGTAAACACCTGTTTTTCCTTTCCTACCACTTTCCTGTCAGTTGTCTGGGGGACCAGCTCTTAAAACAAGAGGAAAGAATAAGATTTAAAAGTCCTACATACAGAGTCCTAATTTTTGATGCCCAGACTCATTGGCA